ACTCTTTTTTTGCCACCTTTGTTTTATTAGAAAAAAAGCAAACACTAGAAGATAGAGATGAAGACGATGTACAAAATTATATATATTTATATATTTATATATATATGATTCATATCTATTTACAGTATGGCTGGGACAGACAGCAGAAATGGTTGAAGAGGCCATCGAAGGCTCAAAGGACTTGTAAGGAGGAAGGATTTGGGAAGCAGCAGGAGTACCTTCGAAAGAAGAAGAGGAGCCTTGTGAAAAAGCAAACCAACCAACCAAGAGTCCACCTCCCGGGCAACCAGCTCAGCCCTCACAGTGAGATCTACTGAACAGATGTGCCGGGAAGGGCACCTGAATGTGACAGAAAAAGAGATGAGAGCTCTAAGAAATATCAGAATACAAGGGAAGAAATAATCCAGATAAAATAATTATTTTGTTAATAAGTGGAGTTCTTCTCGTGATTATTATTAGTAGTGTTGTAAGCAGCCAGGTCTGTGCTACGTAAATAAATAAGACAGAACGTCCACCTCTGGATCTGGACTGGAGCTACCATCCATCAGCAGATAGGTTTAGAGCCCCACCTCAGAGGCCAGAAGGAGTGCTAGAAGACCCTTTTTTCCCTGTGGTACAAAATCGAGGAAGATCACGTAGAAACCGAGACTATTCTTTAATGCAGTTAAGACAGTAAATGTTAAGGAGCTGTACAGCAGCATCAACGGAAAGAAGGAAGAGGGGAACAAAACCTGAACCAGGTTCCCCTCGACTCCGCTTGGCGCTGGCTTCCCGTCCACACTGGTCACCTGCCTTCTCAGCCCGAGAGGGGCAGCGGCCACCGTTGCCTTGAAATGTTCTGCCCTGGAGGCTCCACCAGCCCTTCAACCCCATGGGAAACCCCCACACTGGCCAGAGTGGCTTGTGTATAAAGTCACCGTAAGTTACTCAAGGCTCCGAGCACACCACTCTCACACTTGGGTAGCGTCTTCCTGGCCTTGATTCCAGCACTAGCTACACATCCCTGTCAGAGGGAAAGGAGAGTCACTCTGCACAGGGTTTTGATGGAGTGGAGAGAGAGGCTGCTCTTGCTGTCAGGCAGGACATTTTAGAATGGGTTGCCCTTCAGTGGGCAATGATGACCTATTAGCTTTCTGTTTGTTTTTTTAACCTCCTGACGGAGGGGGAAACAGCCAGAATTGGTTTATTGATCTATGGATCAATCCACCTGCCCTACATTTTCCGGGATCTCATTTTGGAGCCCCTTACCTCTGCTCCACCGCCCTTTATCCCTTGCTTCTACCAGGAAGACTCATGGCCTGCAGCCTGACAAAAGAGAAAACTAGTACATATCTAAGGGAGGAACCCCTGGCAAGGTTTTTTGGAGGGAACCTGGAAGGAAGACAGATATGGAGTGAGGCACGATGAATGAACGGACGAGTATGTGAGCACACACGGCCTTGGAAAGCACATCCACCTTTGCAATCTTATTTAACAGTCATCACCTCACTCTGTCTTCTGCCAGCTTGCGACAGAATCACTCTTTTTCATTTTTTTTACTCTTTAGTTTTTTCCAGTGAGATTTTTTTTGCATTCCCCCTTGAAAACAAAAGACACACACAAAAATACCAACGAACAGTTGCGCTGTTCATCTGAAAATCTCCAAACAAAAGATAATAAAATTCAAAGGTGCCTCTTTCCCTCCATCACTAACCCAAACCATCTGATTGGCTTAGAACTGTTGAAGTTTAATCCAACAGCCAGAAAAATAATTGTGCATAATGAAGGTAGATTCTTGGGCCAAACAGGCTTGTTTTTTGCCCAGGAGAGAGGCCAATGGTGTCAGCCTGCCCTCTAGACCATAATCCAAAACACCTAATGGAAGGTCTTGAACCTTCGCTGCTAACTGGCAGGTGGAGCTGGGAAGCAGCAACAAATAAGTTTCTAAGATGGTGAGCTGAATGGATCTCAAGCCAAAGCTTAGCTTAGTCCTGGAATCCATTCCTGGAAATGATAATTGTTAAGTTTCTAGTCCTCAGGGGCACAAAGTTACATTTGCAAGAAACAGGGCCACATGTAGTGAAAACCTTCATAGTACAGAGGAGTTGACAGGACTGTTTTAGTCAAGGTATCAATGCTCCTTCAGGGTGACTCATATAACTAAAGACCAATCTGAGAAGGCAGAAAGTAAGAAGAGCCTTTTTCCCCCCTAAGGAAATGATCTGAAGAACTTTTACAGAAATCTTCACAAGCCCAAAGAGACTAATCATCACTGATTGTTCTCCACACTCTGGAATTAGTTTCTTTGTCTGTGCTTCAGTTTTATGACTAAACAACGGGAGTCAAATTAGGCCTTCTGTCTGGCCAGCTATTGTAGGCCAGTGATTTTAGATAAGAAACTTAGGAGGAACACCTGCATGTGTGTAGGACCCGATGCCCCCTTTAAAAATGTTTCGTGCACCACTATCTTCCTATCTTGGGCATTCTTCGACCAGGAACTCAGCTCTTCTGAAACCACCGCTATGCAAAGCATTCCAAACATCTTAAAAACTTGCTCCTTTTTACCACACCCTAAGCCAAAGGCATAATTTTCCTCATCCACAAGAACTGAGAACAGCTAAACTCCTGCCGGGAAAAACATGGGAAGTGCCAAAAGGAAGAGAAATGGGTTCAGGCTCTGTGACAGCCAGCCCGACTTCACTCTGAAGGACATGATTTGGGTGGCAACCCACCATAGCTAAATAAACAAACTTTTGCCCATTTGAAAACCAAGAAAGCACCACAGGAGATGCAAAGAATGGATTATGTATTTTCACATGTGTGAATCACACCGGGAAAAGATTTGGGGGAAGTATGGAAATGAGACCCTGAAAGGGCCAAACACAGCTAATGGAAAGCATCGGGGCACAACTGGGAGGGGGGGGGTTGCTGCTTGGTCACAGTCGAAATGAATCGTCAAAGCGAGCCATCTTAAAATTTTGATAAAACAGAATCTGCTCTTGACACCAGAACCCTTTTTCAGATGCTTGACCATAGATAAGGTTCAGTGACAAGACCCTACTCGATGCCTCATGGGGTGAGATCTCTTACACAGCTGCCACTCCCTTATCACTTCTCTGACCACATTCATTTCATTACCGAGTGCCTCTGCTGTATACTTGTAAACAACTCCGGGGGTTGGGGGGGTGAGGTAAACAATGAAGAACTGACATTTAAAGAAGAAAACTGACACCAGGGTCACTTCTGAACAAGTCGGCTTCACAGGGCTGCGGAAATCCTGTGGTTTGGGATCCGACACGGTGGGGCAGCAAGCACCAACTGGTAAACCAGTAGGGCTCTCTTCTGATGAGAGAGAGGAGGAGCGTGGCTTGAGAAACTGCTAACTGGTTTCTCAAAGCTGTCACACCTTCTTGGGCCAGCCTTGAAGCCCTTTTCTCTCCTCAGCAGTGGCACACTTAAAAACACACACACACACACATTACCACCAACAAGGGGATAAAAACACTGAGCTTCCTTTGCACACACCCCCTCAGAGATATTATAAATCCCAAACTTTGTTCCAATTCTTAAATCATGCGATTTGGTTTCTGGGCTCCCTTGGGTGCTGCTCACAGGCTGACCCCTCCTTCTCCTTTTCATAAGTTTGCAACACAGAACAAGCCAGGCAGATTTTTTGAAGTTTTTCCTTCTCTTTGTACAACAGAGAAACTGCAAGCTAGAGAAAAGCAGGTTTGACCTGGGACGATCCAAAGAGTAACACCTTGCTGGCTGCAAGAAAACTCTGATCCAAACTGCGAATCTGCGTCTCGGGTTTTGACTACCATCGTTATTTCCAGGGGCTATGAGAGTTCTGTGTGTCCCAGCCCTATGACATAGGAAAGTTCAACTGCGTGACAGAAACAACAGGAAAACAAAACCAGAATCCCAAAACAAAAGGAGAAGGAGGAGGAGGAGGGGACAGGGGAAGGAAAGGGGAAAGAAAAGAAAAAGGAAAACCCTCAGGAGGCAGGTTAACCTGCCAACTTGCTGGTGACAAGGGAGGATTTCCTCTGTGGAAGATCTTGCGGAGTAGGGATATGATCACCCGTCACCAGGTTCTTATCTGTTCCTGCAGTTGGCAGCTGTTTGTTCTTGATTTTAGCTTTGGCCATGTTGTAGTCGCCGGAGTCAAAGTATTTTTGCTGGAAGATGGAAAGAAAGAATGCCAGTGAGATCTAGAGTAGAGGTTGGCAACAGGCAGACTTCAGCCAAGCTCAGGCCAAATCACACACACCCCATTTGGCCCACCAAGCAAAACCAGAACTCTTTGGGAGGCTGTCCTACACCTTTCATCCCTCCCTGAGAGGGACAGTAGGAGGGAACCCGCCATAACCCTAAAGCGTTAGGGGGGAGCCGAGCAGTTGCCAAGCAACTGTTTGCATGATGATTCCTCCCACTCCCCCACCACCTTTTGGATGAGTAATCTGGCTGGCTACTGGAATCAGCGGCAAAACAAGTGACTGCTGCTGCTGTACGCATAAGGTGACAAGGACGCAGAGAAAGACCCCAGTGCAGGAGAGACACCCGCGGTTTTGAAAAGGGAAGGAAAGAAAACCGCCATCCTACATTTCACCCTAACCCCTCTAAGGGCCAATCCAGGGTCTGGGATCTGGCATTAAAAACAGAAAACACATAGACCACATTCTGGGTTCAAAGGCAGGAATGGGTCAAACTATTCTCACGGCCAACGGGTGAGCATTTCCTCCGTCCCTGGGTAAAGGATGGAAAAGCTTTTCTCCCAACCTACTCCTGCTCCCCAAAACCCACAATATGAACCCACAGTTGGCCACCTGGGTGGGTCACAGGACACTTGTGCTCTTCAGATGTTCTGGACTACAATGTCCATTAACCCCCAACTACTCCCCAAACTAGCTAGCAGGCATAGCAGGGCACTAAGCTGAGGAAGGCTGGTAATTGTAGAATCATGGCGTTAGACGGGGCCTCAAAGGCCATCCAATCCAGCCTCCTGCTCAGGGCAGGAATCCAAATCAGTGCAGATCTCTTGGCTCCGGGACGCGTCCACTCAAACCAACCACCCAGCTCTTTGGGCAGAGCAGTTTACCTTTTAAATGCCACTACCCAGGTGGTGAAAAAAACAAGCTTCCCCTCTTCATAACCCATCTCTACACCACCCTGAGCATTAAGGAGCTTTATCCATAGGAAACTGTGCATTTGGTTTACCCTGGCTAGCAGACAACACCTGTCCCTCCCTGACAGAAATCACTTCTCATAAGCCTCTAGGGTTTATAAATGAGTTGTACCCCTTTCTGAAGTCGCTTCATCAAGAAGTCAGAGCCACCAGGCTTCTGAAGTCCCAAGTTCGGATATTTGGCTTTTAGTTTTGCCTCCTCTGCTCTCTCAGGGATGACCGCTTCCTTCTCTTGCGTGTCCTGAAAGAAAATGCAAGCAGGAATTCAACAACAGAAGCTAGTAACGTGTGCGACATGTCAGAGGAGTGGTTGATCACTGCCACTCCCACAATGAGATTCTACAGCGAAATCAGGATTGGAAACCACGCCTCCTGGGTCTTAGACCAACACTCTCGCCACAACATCACCCTAGCTCTCTCCAGTATGTGACAGATCGTCAAAGCCTTTCGAAGTGGGTCCCCAATCCATCTCAAACACCAAAAGCCATTCTGAGCCAGCATTACCACTAACAGTGCTGGAAGGTGGCATTACCACCTGAAGCCCAGCTTCTGCCAATGACTCCAAGTGTTCATCACCTTTCTTGAATTTTGTGCCGGGGGTGGGGACAAAAGCTGCCTTTTATGAATATATTTGTACCCACCTGGCACCTTTGTCAGGAAACTAAATGAAACCTCAAACAGAATTCATTTGTTTTCAAATGGAGGAAATTTTTCCAAAGCAAACCCACTCATACACCATACTTCCCTGCACACACACACACGTTGTTTCACTGACTCAAGAAGACCAGAGCTGATCATGGGACTCCATACTACCTATAAACAGACCAGGAAGTCTTCTGTATGGGATACCAGTGAGCACAGATGACACATAAGAGGACCAGGAAGAAAAAACAAACCACAAGACTGAGATGCCCATGTTGATCCTGATGGCATCAGGCATTGAGGTACATTACTGGATCGCGGCCAGAATTTTCAACCAACATAGACACATTGTTAACATATCCCTCTTTCAGTTATTAATCTCTCAGGCTCCCAAGTATTCCCTGTACTAATTAATTCCTGTATTCTGAAACACTGGAATAGATACTTTTGTTTCTTGACCCATGTTTAACTTGAAAATTGCCAAGGGAAGATTGCCAAGGACTGCTGCTTATAAGAGCAGGCTGGAATACAAGGAAAAGGATAGAAGCCCTCTGAATGCTGCAAAGCAATTGGATACTACCCATGTAGTGCGGCCAGACTGAGCCCTGCAGAATGTCAGGACAGGCCTGGAGGTGGACGCAGCCAGGAGACGTCCAAAGGGCAATTGGTAAAAATAATGCAAGGAGATGGGTCCTCACCCTTTCTGCAGGGGAAAGGGAAGTTCGGACACCTACAGACCTGGCTGTTATGGCTCTCCTCAAGGATGGGACAAAGAGCAAACCAACTTAATCCCAGGAAGAATGCAAGAGCTCAGAAACAGGGTAGAGTCAAGCAACTTCAGCCCTCCAGGTGGTTTTGGACTATAACTCCCACACCGGCCAGCAAGGTCGGACAGGACTGGTGGGCTTATAGGACCTTTCTTGCAGAAGCAGCCTCAAGCCAGCCTTAGATTGGAGAAAGCCACAGGAACAGAAGCATCTGGGCACAGTGGCACTGCCACTCCCATTTAGCTACCGTGCTTCCCTGAGAATAAGACACGGTCTTATATTAATCTTTGCTCCAAAAAACACATTAGGGCTTATTTTCAGGGCATATTTTATTTCTTTCATGTACAACAATCTATATTTGTTCAAATACAGTCCTGTCCCCTTCTAGTTGCTGCACAAGGGTAGAGAGCGGAGTTTCACTTAACTAGAGCTTATTTTTGGGATAGGATTTACCGGCATATTACGAGCATCCTGAAAAATCATACTAGGGCTTATTTTCAGGTTAGGTCTTAATTTTGGAGGAACTTTCAGGTACTTTGGGGCAGAACAGGATGAAAGAAGGTACCATGTGCATTTGCCTCTCTGCGCCCCTGCAGCTAAGGATGTCATGCAACTGTCTGTGTCCGTGTGTAACTGCTGGCACGTTAGAACCCTCCTTGGTTGGCTTGGTGGTGCTTCCAGTCAATGCAGCCTGGTTTTTCAGTGTCAAAACACCTGTTTGCGGTCCCATTTCACTCTCAAAATATTCCAGAGACTGCTTGCATATTCAAACCTATGTGGAAGGCCAGACGTTTCTGCAATGATGGAAAGCTGGCATGTGGACCTGGAACTGAATGCCCTGCACGATCCTTTGGAGTCTTTCCTACTGTAAGAGTTGGTTAAAGCAAAGGAAGAGAAAGAAAGATACCTCATCCACAGGAAATGCTGTAAATCACCAAGCAGCATCTGAGTGCCGTACTATATTGTGGGCAGCACTCTGAAAAAAGCAGATGACTCAGAGGAAAGTCAAAATAAATAAAAATAGTAATGCCAAGAGAGAGGAGGAATTATGTGGGATAACACAGAATAGCTTTTCCGGCAGAGTGGGCTGGCGTTGCTGCGTCAGCACAAGCCTCCGCTCGGGGGACACAGGTGGGCAGGCGCCTGTTCAGCCAGCCAGCCATCGCAGGCCTCCAGGCAAAGCTGCTCTGACCCTCTGCTTTTGCACAAGGCGCAGCAATTCGACAGAGCTCGTGAATAAAGATCCAGCCATTCTGTTGCTTGAGGCACCACTTTCGTGACGAAGAACCAGACCTGCAAAACATCTCTTTTTTTAAATAACACCGAGAGTAACCTTCCCAGTTTAAACCAAAGCGACCTTTCCTCCCCACCCTGGAAAACCTTCCTGTCTCTAGCAAGGAGATCATGAGACCCGTAACTGAAGGCCTGGAGTCCCTCACAGAAGACAAGGACAGGCAGGAAGAATGGAATATCCCCATGTTTTTAAACACATTTCTAGCACTACATAAAGCTCTTTTCAATTCTAATGTTTTCAGTCCACTGCCATTTAGTTTTGCTGGATGATCCCAAGTTCTGTCACTGTAGGCGAAGGAGCAAAACGTCTCTCTCTCTCTCTGTTCACCTCTCTGTATTCAAGACATCACTTTCCCCTCTAAACTGAAAAGCTACAAATGACATCTTATTTCCACAGCACAGATAATCCAATCCCCTGGAAAATGAAACAAGAAATGTATTTTCCAAAAAAAGGAGAGAAAATAGGAGTGAGACGTGAGGGAACAAAAATGAAAGCAGGCATAGAAGGTGAAGCCTACAAGTGTAAATTGGGCAAGGTAACCTGGATAATAAACACTAACAACCAGCGATAGTACTAACCCCCATCCCCTTGCAGGGATACACAGCATTCCTGAAGTTTCTGCCACCTCCATAAGGGCTGGAAACTTAGATTCTCTAAAAACAAAGACTCACAATTTCAGATGTGAGTAACCATTTTAAATTCTACCAATTTTATGAACTGTCTAGCCTCACATGGCAAGGCTGGAGGAAAAAAAAATGCTACAGCTTTCTCAACAGCAGGCCCTGTGCAACAGCCTGAACTATCCAGGCTTCCCCAAATCGCTTCAGTAACTCCACAGTCCTTTCATGCTGGGTGTAAAGGCCAAAAAGACTCTTATAATTAAGGATCAGGATCAGCACTTTGAGATACTTTCCCTCCCTTTAAAATAACAATAATCAAACAGGCTCAGCTTTCTTTCGCACAACCTTGATCTCACCTTACTCGTCTGTTGTGTTTACAGGGTGGCAAAGTTAGAGACTGACTCAAGCTGTCCTGTTACTGCCCAGGCAGATGCCCTGCTGGCTCTCCTTGGTGCCTTAAATACCACTACGACTGCGAGCTTTGCCCAGCCTTGCATCATGCCATTCAGAGTTGGACACAGATGACAGTTCTGAGCCATTTATTTGGGAGTTCTGAGTAAGCCATGCCTGATGGATGTCCATCAACTGCCCCCTCTCCTAGCTCTGAGAGTCTGGCTTTGGAGGAAGGCTTCCTGTTAGTCACCATAGATGGGCATGACATATTTACTGAGAACAGGACCCAGAGCCTGTATGAGATTAAAAGGAGGAGAGCCTCCAATGGGCTCAGTGCAATGATGGGACCCATCTCTGCTACAGAATCACAGCAAGTTCTTGACTGAGCTGCTTGTCTAAGTGGCAGGCCTTGTATTTGCTCTCCAGCGGTAACAAGCCAGAGAGAGGCCACAGCTCAGAGGGAAGGCACAGGCCTTACACAGAGAAAGTCTCCAAGCTCACACTTCAGCCAGCAAGGTTTGAGGGGGGGAAAGCTCCTCTGTCAGAAATCTTGGCAAGTTCTCCTGGACAGAATAAAACAGATGAGAAAAACTCCTAGGGACACTTCTCAGAATCCCCTGGCCAGTGTGGTCAGTAGCCATGTTGCCTAGGAGATTCGCGGGGTGGGTGGCAGTTTGCCCTCCCATGGTCCCCAGAAATGTTCTAGTACAGCCTTCGTCAAACTGTCATCCTCCAGTTGTGTCACAATGACAACGCCCACCCAAAGCATCACACGTCTGAAGGGCACCAGGTGGGAGAAAGCTGCTTGAAGAAAGGGAGAAAGCAGAGAGCTGCTCAGCAGTGAACCACAACAGGCACTCATATCCAGAGGAAGCCCAACACTCTGTGGCACATCCCCCATTTTGGACACCAACGATGCCAGTCTGTGGCCCTTGCAGCCAACAGACGGAGGAGCGACTGCTCAGTCAGCCCGGGATCAGGCAGGACAACCCCAGTCTCAGGCATCAGTCACCTGGTTTGAGATAAAACAACAGCAAGGGCTGGACCTCCATGCACAAAGGTGCCTACAAACAAACATGACAGGACCAGCTCCGTAATCCCTGCAGCCATCCTGCATCCATCCCCACCTGAGGCAAATGAGAATTTCTGACCCAAGCAGGGAGAAGCCCCTCCCCAAAGTCCTCTTAGGCACACAGCAGCAACTGGGCTGGAAAATCTGGCATGCTTGAAAGACATTCTTGGCTTGTCCCTGCAGGCAAGAGACCCACCCATTCAAAGGGCAAAGGACTTGGTGCTGCCATTGGCAAAGCAGCAAAACAAAGATGCTGTTTCCCTGCTAGGCAACAGCCAGCACTTGCACAGTACCCTCATCATCATCATCATCTTAGAACTGCAGAGCCAGAAGGAACCCTATGGATCGTCAAGTCCAGGTCCTGTCAAGGAAGACCAGTGGGGAATCGAGCTCCCAGCCTCTGGCTCCACAGCCAGATGCCAACAGATCTGGTCAGCCATGGCCCCAATTCACAGCAAGAGTGTGCAGAAATAGGGGCCCTTTTCCCTAGACGCAACTCCATTCCAAACTCAGTGTGTGAGTGGTGATTCCTTGTGCAGTTCTTCAGCTGACAACCCTCGGCTGAAATGCTCACTGGGACACACCAGTGAGCATTTCAGGACTTCTGTGCAACTGGGGAACCCCCTGAGAGAACACCAGTGAATTCTGTCAGCCATGGCACAAACTGAAGGCAAAAAAGGCCCTGCCCTCTTCTCTGTGTCTCCTCCCTAACTTCCAGAGGGTGTTGTAGGATTAGTTTCACACAATTTTTTTTTTTGCCTACACACGTGTACCCATGAGAACCATCTACTAACATGGCAGAACTGATTGTGCCTGTCATGCATTTAACCCTCAGCAAGCGAAGAGACCTTGAGGCCTACACGCACCATGCACTGGGCAGATTTCTTAGTGGTCTTTTAAAACTAGTCTTTGGGACTACATTTCTAAACTAAAGCTCTGGGACAGTACTCCATCATCCTCTATTTTAAGCAACACAGTCAACTTGCCAGTCACCCAGATCCGCAGGGGATTTCTTAACCCTGTCACAGCAGCGTTCCCCAGCGTGAAGCTCTTCTGATGTATGTAATGACCTCAGTGGGGAATGATGGGGGTTGTAGTCCACGAAGGATGCCAAGTATTGAGGCAGATTCTTTAACCCTATCAGTCATTCTTGACACTTCGGTCCCAAACGAAACCTTTTCAGCTCTCTGACGGAGGCACTTACCAAGAAGGGGCAAGAGACTTCGCATCCCTGCCACCCCCAAGCCCACCCCGCAAACAACATACAAACCTCGATCGCTTTACAACCGGAAGAAGAGGCTGCGTTACGTCTCCGGCTTAATTTTCTCCCCTACTACTCTCTTTGGTCTCAACGGTCCCAAACACCGGAAAGCCCGCCCTGGGAAAAGCAGGCGACCAATGAACACCGGCCATGGCTCCTAAGCAGCCAATCGGAAGGCAGCATTGCCACGAATGGCAGGAAAGCGAACCAACCAAAGCTCCCTCGTCCCTTCCCACCCAAGTCGGAGCCAGGGCGCTCTCGCCCTCCCCGCCCGGCCTTCCACCCTCACCTGTTTCTCTTCGCCGGCCTCGTCCGAACGGCCGTCGCCAGCGAGCGTGTCAGACATGGCGGAGCGAGGGAGAGAACAGGCCGCCGGGCCGAGGAAGGCGAGGGCTGAGGCGCGCTGGGGCCAGGCGAGGCCGGCGCTCCTACTCGGGAGCCCTCTTCCCCGCTCTCCTGTCACTTCCACAGCAGAGCCAAAATGGCCTCCTCCGCCACCGCCTCCTTTCCAACGTTGGCCCCGCCCACTTCGTTCGCGTAGGGAGGCATCACACCAATCGCATCGCGGGGCAAACTCAGGAGGCGGGCTGTACCGAAGCCGACCAGCCGGATGGCTCCTTCGGAGACGAAGAAAGAAAACTCCCGTGGGAGGAGGAGAATTTCAAAGCAGAAAGGAAACGTTGGAATAAGATGGGCGTCTACTTGAGCCAATAGAAACAAAGGAAGCGGTCGGGCGGACCAATAAGAGTAGCCATTAGGGAGGATCGTGCCCCAGTTACGTTAACTGACGAAGTGGGTCAGTTAAAAGTAGATTTTTTTTTTAAAAAAGGCTCGTGGAACAAGCTTCTTTCTGCGCAGGCGCAGAGTGATGGTTCCTTTTGAGCCGAAGGGAACGTTAAAAAACCCATGTAGAGTGTTTCTGAGCATGCGAAGAGTGCTTCTTCGTTGAAATGACCAAGTCCGTTTTAAATAAATTACCTCAAGGGAAGTATTTTCGGTCCATGTAGAGAGTTGATTCCTTGCACTTCATTAAAAAAAGAATAAAAATAAAAGGGTCATTTAAATAACAGTAACAATGTGTGCCACACAGTGAAATCCATTTACCTTCATGAGTCCCGTTCCTTTGAATGCCCTGAGGAAGCTGTGCTCAAAAGGGCACTTCTGTGCTCAGCTTTGGTTAATCCTAGCTTCGGTTATAGCTGGAAGATCAAAGCAGAGCCTCCATGTACAAAACCAGTCTACCTCTGATGACCAAGGGCTGTGCATCAGCCCCAAGGAAAAGCAGCCCCTGCTGTGTGTTTCCTGTGGCTTCCTGCTAGTAAATCTTTCCCATTGGGAGGAGGGGAAGCAATATTTATCTGAAAATAGCCTGAAATGAGGGGGAGGAAAGACTAAAGCAGAAGTGATGCTGACTTGAGGTATTGAAAAACTGGTATTTTCCGTGTTAAATGGTAATCCTGGTGGTGAAGGTCTGGATAATTCAAAAAGTAAATTGCAGCTCCTGGAAGCTTCTGAGGACTAGAAATCCCCCCCCCTTTTTTTTTGGCTGGAATTTATTTCTTATGGGGGGCCAGCGGGCCAGGAAAAGGGCTCTCAGGCAGCACTTTGCCCATTTCGGTTTTAAGAAGGTCCTGTGGCACCCGCTCATTGTGGCATCTGTGGCTTTCAAATACAGTATTTGTCCTGCTAAAAATTCATTTTAAAAGAAGTCTTTATGGCACCACCAGACTCTCCACTGAAAATAAGCCTAGACGGCCTTTTGGTCTGAAAAGTTGTTTCCACCTTGCAAGGCGAGGAGAGGTTGCACTCAGGAAGCCTAGCCACGACATGAACTCTGTGCATGCTCAGAGATACTGCCTGCTAGCACAGAATGGGTGATTAAGCTCAGGAAAACCCATCCAGATCTTTCCTTGGAAACGAGGGCCTTGTAAAATGGGGGGGAGTTGACCTTTGACCTCTCACGGCCAGTCCCCGACGGGCCCATTAGCCGAGGCGAGGAGTGAGGGTGGATAAAGAGCAGCCGCCTTTTGCAGATATCCTCCGAGGGCATCCAGAGAGGCGCCTTTTCACCGCGAAAGGAACGGGCCCTTGAAGAACGTCTCTCCGGTGGGACCCTGGACCACTTTGCCACCTTTTTCAAGCCTTCCGCATGGGTAGGGAAGGAGAAAGGGCGGAAAGGAAATCAATGCACGCTTAATGGTCCGTGCGCGATGCAGGGTTTCTATCTTATCGTTGGTCGTTAGGGCGAATGAAAGACCAGGAATGACGGCGTTGTCAATGGCCAGCCATTAAACGCACGCACACACTCCCCACATCCTGATTGGAGGTTTCATTCTTAACATTTTGTATCTGGTTATTTAGTGCCAAAAACTGAAGTGAGAGTTCTATATAAGTATGGGAGACAAATATTGTATATATTGTATATATATATAGGTCATTTATATATATATATATATACAGTTTTCCTGCATCTCAGATCCTAACTTCTGCCAACCTTGGAAATGCTTTCAAGTTAAAGGACAGCTGATTCCCAATATCATTGTAATTCACAGCAAAACCACAGAGATATGAGGTGGCCTGTTGTGCCTCTGAGGGAGTGATTCATCCAATCCTGTCTGTTGTGTCTCTGAGTGACTCCCTCCCTCTGTCTCTAGAGCCTCTCTTTTAGTCTGTTTCTCCTGCCTCCTTGGATCCAGTCCCAGCTCCTGGATGCTGTCCTTTCTGCCCCCCCCCGGGCTTTGCAGACACTCTCCAAGGTGCTGAACCCTGTTCTCCAAAATACAACAGGCTCAACACAGTGAAGAAGGTCTATAAAGTGCCGACTAAAACCCAGAGTGGACTCATAACATCTCTGAAATAGGAGTGACTGGCGTCCACTGGTGTCTCTTGCTTTGGTGGACAAAGCACGGCTTTCATAGGCATTTACATGGAAGCTTCCCCTTTGGGTTTTATTTTTATTTTTCTTCCTAGGGCCTGGAAATGTTCCCCCCTTTTTTGGACCACCACTCCCAGAATCCTTTGGAAAGATTCCAGCAAATCCTAGGCTGAAGGATGTTGAGGCCAGTAGTCCAAAAATTAACTTTCCAGGGTCTCTCTCTCGCTTTCGCTCTGTTTGGCACATCTGCAGACCTCAGGGTTTCTGCAAAAGGATAGATACTCTTGTTACCCATCCACTCAGATCTGGTCCAGATCCACTGTCACTCAGTTTGCTCTTAGAGAGGGTATATTGGTTATTTTGAATTTTTTTTACATACTTCTTGATCTTTGCCTTAATATTGCCTACTAATGATCTAAGATGCTTCCTTACACATTGCTTTTAGTTTTAAATATTGTTTCTTAATGATGTTAACCACCATTGTATACTCATTGTTTTCAACTTTCAACTTTAAATATTGCCTTTCATTTTTGTAAGCGAATGCGGGTCTGTTTCAAGGAGAAATGAGGGGTAAAATATTTTAAATAAATAAATTTTCCAAATACAGCTTGACACCATGTTTTGTCCTACAAGATGGGCAGGTGTGCCTTGCTAAACATCCACAGGGCAGAGCTCCCTTCCCTATTCATTGATTTTGCCCAAATGGCAGGAAGCTTTCTCCTGCCCTTAAAACCCGCATCCGCTCTCTCGCCAAAGCCCAAATGACTTCAAGAAGGCCGTTCCACGAGGCTGCACTCCCAGCATGGGCCGCCAGAGGAGGCCAGCATGCTGCCAGTTTCTCCGGATAACTCATCTAAGTTCAACACAAAGTTGAGATAGACACAAATTAAAAGCCAGCTATTAGTGGTTCTATAAGCCAGGGTAACCAGGCAGACAGAAAAGGAAGTTAATAATTCAGGCAAACACCGAGCTGAACTGCTAAATCGAGGGGTGGTCCTCTGGCAAGCACCTAAATTTAGACTCCTTCAATAATGGGAGGCAGATGGAGATCCGCCCAGGCTCTGTGGTGGATGAATCCATCCACGGCCTGATATGTCTGAGCATGGGGGAAGTACCACAAGAAGCCTCAACATTCGCCCCAACACTTCAGTCTAGCCTCTAGACATGGGGTGCGAGAATCCTAATTGGATTCCTTTGTGTGCAGTTTGCAGGGGAAACTGAATCGGGTTCTTTAAAGGAGATGGTGGGGTATAATTAAATAATTTTTTTTTCTTGCAACAAGGTGGCAAAGTTTATAAAGTTTTTTTCCTGTCTTTCTTTTTTCTTTTTGTCCTCTTCAGAAAATATTTACGTTTGGTGGGGTTTTTCTGTATTTTGTTTTTCTGTATTTAGAAAAATGTACAGTATTTTACTAAATGCACTAAACACTTAAAAGATGATCTCGCTAGTCCTGGATCCATCTTGGCCCCTGTATCCCAAGGCCTTGCTCAGGTGTGGGATGAGCCACGGAGAGCCTACCTGAGGCGGAGGTGCTGGTGGTGATGCAAACTGTGTAGGAAATGGGGAGGGAGCGCAAGAGAGGGAGTCGGGCTGTGGAAAATGGCAGGGAGGGGTGGCGTAGGGCGATATTGATTGGTGTCTGTCAGCTTCCCCGGCACAATGGCCGTGCCTCATGTCCAGACACCGCACCATCGCGCAGATCAATGGGGGAACATCAATACACCCGGAATTGCGCTGCAGCTATGGCAACGGGGAAGGCAAGAATTAGGACGGTTTGCTGGATGGCTCCAAAGTTCTTGGCTGCTAGGGAGCATTCGATAAAACATTTTCAGCAAAGAGGAAGAGAGCAAGAGAGAGAGAAGGAAAGAGAGAAGAGGGATAGAGATTCCCCCCAAATATACTGTAGACTGGGGCTCTTCTTTTCTTTCTCCCTTTTAGCTAAACTGACTCCCTTTTTCTCAAAAGAAATGCTGGGTTTCTCTGTTGGCATCAAGAGACGAACCTGGGGACACCGTCAAGACCTTCCTTCCATCTGATCTGGTCTCAGCAGGAGCATCATCTTGGCCACCCTTTGGGGGTAGAGTCCTTTCCCTACTCCATGTTTTAAACACTGAGAATAAATAGCATTTATTGCAGTGTCCTATGAAGAGGGCCCCTCCACAAGGCCCAGAAGGCCACCTTCCGGAGACTTCCAAGAGCCAAATTTCTCTCTCTCTCACTCTCTCTCTTCCCCCCCCCCAATAAAAACATCCCATTTCCAAAAGACACAGAGCTGGTTTTTGGGAAGCTGCTGGAGGCCCTCCCCCAGGCTACTCTTCTCCACCCCGGCTGTGCTTTGCCACATACAAAAGACTGCAGGCAGCCATCCTGCATGACAACTAGACCTGGAAGGAGCATGTTTATTTCTGTGATGGGAGTGGCTTTTCCCACTGTGCATAGGAAATTGCATCATGATTTTTCCCCCGAAACATACAAAGAGGAAATGAGTCGATTCCAATCCACCATCCATGGCTGTTTGCCCTCCTTCGGCTGATACATCCCAAAGTTTGCCCTTCCTTGCTGCAAAAGGTGGAGCGCTACTACAAATTTTAAAATAGATTGAAGGTTCAAAATAAAAACTGCCAGGCGTTTTAAGATCCTTGGGGCTGAGATGGTTGGAAGGCTGGCTCAAAATGACTCTTAAAATCAATATGATGGGGGGGGAGAGAAGAGAAATCATTTCACTCCTCCCACAGCACTGCTTTCAACCATCCATCTAGGATGAG